AAAAAGACCTTTATGCATATGCTCTTACAGAAAAAATTCTTTTTTAAAAAAAGAAAAAAGACGTTTAATCAAGAAAACTCCCAACTCTTATTTACCAATTTTTTTAAATTCTAGAACTAGATAGCTTTCAGAGACATTAAGAGAACAAGATATGAATAAATGCCTGCACAGGTCTGAATCATAAAAGAAATTAGTTTAGTTTATGAAAAGTTGCTAAGTGCCAAGTAAAAACTAACCCAAACCAAAACATTCAGCACAATTTTTATTTCTGGCAACTTCAGCTTCTGGCTAGAAGCTATCCTAGCTATGACATTAAATGGTGAAAATTTATTGAGCTATAAAAATATTAGATTTGGCAGCCCTTTCTCAAGCTAAAACTACTGTTACTGGTTCATACCACAAGTGCCAGAGCCTTGAATTAGATCAATGACTCTAAAGTATAAGCCAGTGGTGAACCAAATTATCAAGGGAATTTCTTTTTTTTCAAAATATATCTACTCCCTTCATATTCTCCCACTACTAAGGTTCTGAAGGAAGGTGGAAATGAAATAGATATGTGTGTGCCTTTTTTAAAACTCCTCAACCTTTTTGAGACATTTATTTGAAACGTCACGAAGAACTCTTGAATTAGGACCAAACCGCTTTTTTTTTTTTAACATGGTAGCAGTAACAGGGATAAGGAACAGAGCTAAAGAGTAACAAGGGCTCTGCAGAAGACTACACAGGTTAGGAGCTGTGCTCACAGCAGATGTAAGACACTCTGAGTTTCCTGTGCCAGCTCCCTCCAGAACCCACTACATTACATCTTAGACAATGACAAATGTTCAGTTCATCATCCTGAGAAAGCACAGTCTACCAGCCAAACAAAAATGTAGAAAGCAAGCTGGGCGTGGTGGCTCATGCCTATAATCCCAGCACTTGGGGAGACCAAGGTAAGAGAATTGCCTGAGCCCATGGGTTCAAGACCAGCCCAGGCAAATTAGTGAGACCTCATCTCTACAATTAAAAAAAAATTAGCTGGGTATCGTGGTGAGCACCTGTAGTTCCAGCTACTTGGAAAGCTGAGGTGGAAGGATTGCCTGAGCCCAGCAGGTTGAGGCTGCGGTGGCCATGAGCGTGCCACTGCAC